TACCGAGGAACGGCTAGAATTGCAGAAACTGCACACGCAGAGGAATGAATTTGATAAAGTGATAGAACTGCTGGGCTTCAGGTGCCGGAAGGCATTGACATCTAGCACTGCTCACTCGGCACAAGTCATGCACCGACCTGTGACAGTCTGGTGCTCAAAGCCGCTGCCTTGCTGGTCCAGAGGGCCGGTAAGTTACGTCAAAGGGCTCATTGAAGTCGAAACTGACATAACAAACATGATAAACACTGATAAAGACATTTTAAACAAATGATCCAATTTGACCACAAGAAACGCTGAGGTGAAGGGCTGCCTGCATGGCCCTTTCTGTCCACGATGCAGACGGTCTGTTTCTCGACAGGTGGGTTTGACTTGTCAGGGCAGATGCTTACGGTGCAAAGTGGGGGAGGACCAGCAGCGCAGTCAGGTGTTGCCTTTTTGCGTTTGCCGAGCTCTCGTAGAGAACTGGCCGCTCGGATGATGCACAAATGACATTGACGAGACTGATGAGATATGTATATATCCATGTTTTGTTGCTAGATACTAGATACTTCTCGGGTGCATATTCGTGCATACTGTGTTGAATCTCATGTTTGTTCCAACAGTGGTGCCCAATCAGACTCGTTCAGCAGCCTCCAGACACAGATGCCGTGTTGCTTCCTGTTCAGTCGGCACGATGCTGCCGACTAGTAACCAATATAATTACCCACGTGGCTCGTTGAGACCGGCTGAAATTGGTCGGATTTTGATCATGGAAAGGCTGGAGATGACCGTTCCAACAGAGACCCTGAAGCCCATCGTTGCCCAAGGGCCTGAGAAGGTGCACCCATCCTGTTGGCCAAGTGCAAAATCCTCCACAAGACATATTTTTCTTCAGTGCTTTAGCGTTTGCAGTGTGCAGTATTGAATGGTTGGCAATTAAACTGTGCTGTTTGAGCGGTTTCAGTGCTCGATCTAGGTGGCCCACACCCCCGCGCGACGCCCTGTTGAGACAGCTGCACGGGTCACTGGCGCGACAGGCAAACCTGGGCCAGGCAACATGAAACGAAGACCAATGTCACTCTGGTCAGAGATGTGTCACCTTCGGGATTGGTAGTTTCTCGGGCAAGGCACTGCCAGAGTTTGCTTGGCAGGAGCTCCAAATCCAGCATTGGCAAGTGCCAATTTTGTTTCCTGGGACACATTTGCGGTTGCAGCCTCAAACATCCCAAAGTGTGCTTCATTGTTGGAAAGGCTTGCCTTTGTTCTTTCATTTGGAAGGTCAAACCTGTGCAGGACGAGTTCTGAGTTGTTTGCTGTGTCATTAGAAGCGTTTTCAGCTGCGCGCAGCTTTGGAACCACAAGAGTCCAGATAACAATTGAATGATCAGCTGCCCTCAGGCAGCAACAAACGGCGATTCAAAGCTTGGATGCCAAGTCTTTTTGATGCTTTTGATGTTTTCTGGTCGTTCAACTCGTGATAAGTTCCTTAGCGGGCGCTTAGCCATGAGGCTCCGAGGCCTGCCAGCCTCAAACAACGTAGAGGCCCTTTCCTGGTGAAGCTTTCCGCAGCAATTGTTTTCCTGCATGTATTTTGCAAAGATGGTTCAGATTCCTCAGTGTCAGAGAAGGACCCAAGATGGAAGATGTTGTCCGGCAGGCACTCAAACGTCCACTCACGAATGTGGCACCAAATGGAGGCACATTTTGGATCACCAAATCGAGCACACATGGATGTTCTTCATTAGAAGTGTCTTGAGAGTCCAAAAGCTTACAAGGACTCTCCAGGATGTTAGGTCTGAATGGACATGGATTGTGTCTTTAAGGATGATGTGTGATTTCGTGTTGCTCACGAGCGCTGAATCCTTATATATTTTGTGCTCGCCAGGCAGAGAAGCCACGGTGTCTCCTCTTGGAGCTCCTTGTTTGTGTTTTTATCAAAACGCACACATGTTCGACCCCATCCGTCCACGCAGCCTTCTGAGGAGCCACATCACTATGGGGAGTACGAATGTTTTTCTAACTTCCTTTCAACATCCACTTGTTGGCCAGGTCTTAGGAATGTTCTTGAAAGGCACCAACTTTGATGTAAGGCTTGTATTTATATACAACCGGAATTGGAGTTATGTGAAACCCTTATTGAATGGATGGTTTCTTGTGGGATATGGTTGCTACATGTGAATTCCCTCACTGAACCTGCCTAGCCCAAGACAAGAGCTTGATATCACCACAAGAGTCTAAAACGAGCCTCCCTTTACACAGTGTGAGCTGTATCAATCCGAAAATGGGTTGATAGGAGAGCAAGACAGTGTAGTAGGAGGGCTATCGTAGCATCAGGCTTTGCATTGGAACCCCTGTCTCACGACGAAACTTATTTTGTAGTAGGATGTTACCTTTATCCCTACTCTTTGCAGACAGATTAACAATAATTGCGCGTGTTTGTTGTTTTTCATAGCCGATAAGAAATTACCACATGTTGTTCTTTCGTTTGGGTTGGGAGTCAGGGCACTCCCTCGGAAGGATTTGGCTGAGCAGCTTTGAGGCAAACTGGCACCTGGCACCTGGCGTTATCCCTGAAAGCTGGTAATCTGACAAATCAGCTATTCAGCCCCATCTATTGGGGGTTGAATGCCTGGTGCGCGTTTGGATAAAAAGTAGCTTTTGGCAATGCAAGAAGATTCATTGTTGATAGGTGAGCAAACAGACCTGACTTAGAGGTGCACTGTAAGGGTAGTGAAGTAGGTGCCTTGCCTTTCAGCAGAATTACATAGTTGCATTGGTTGCTTAACATTTTTGCAAGCAAGGGTTGTGCGGGGATGGGCGCGACATTCTTGCAATATCATATTATACCCCATTCCTGTGATACTGATACTCGATATCTAGCTTTCGATCCTTTATTGTTGTATTTGTCATTGAATACTCTCCATATACCCGCTGCGACCGTGTACCCGGTCTCTAAACTCTTGGCTGTTAGATGCCTCTCTATCAATCTCGCCCTACTCCACTATTCTCTAAGCTCATTTCTCGAATCACCTACTCTAGTTGGTCAAGCTCATTCAAAACCGATGCCCTTCTACTTCTATTCTGTGTGGTCTAGCGCAAGCACAAACGATAATCAGGCATAATCAAGAGTTGGTTTGCACCTACTCAGTGACAGGCAATGACAGACATGCATTGATAATACTATATATATATATATTTTTTATTCTAATTTTTCATGAAATGTCACAGCGTTGCCCATGATTCAATAGTGGACAAGAAAGATGTTGCCAAGATTCCTATTTTGCCAGATCGCTGCTTCAACTGCATTCACTTATATAAGTAGCTGGAAGGGAAGGTTCAAAATCAAGAACGTGGAATTGCATGGAATTACAATGGAGGCACATCCCTGAAAGTGGCCGTCAGATCTATGGAGCACCTTGTCACTTCTATATCAATAGTAGAGTGAAGGAGTATGAGCAATTGCACCCCTCTCCAATATATATGTGTGTGTGTTCTCAGTCAACTAAAGTAGATTGACCATAATTATCTCGGTTTGAACTTGGTTTTAAGTCACCAAATGTATGGGTTGGCCCTCACCACTGCTGTTGCCATATGTGGTGGATTGACGTTCAGGAGAATCCTTCAGGTCTGGCTTGTGTATCTTTACGCTCGGGAACGTTTGGGAACTTGTTGAAGCTGCGAACTTCTCCATCCTCGTTCTGCTTAGCGATTTCAACAATGTGTTCTTGTTCTGTGGAAGGTATTCCCAGCAAGAATCAGATCACTGGTTGCTAACCTGTCTCATCATGGCTGGTGGAGAGATGTCCTGCCACAGGGGTGACAAGGTTTAATCGGGCGTCGCTGGCCGTACTGAGCTTCTAGTCGGAGGAGAAGTGGAGACGGATCTGAACAACATAGGCCTCGGGCCTTGGCTCAATGTGTCCTGTTGCAGAATCAAGATTCCTCATGGAGCCGGAGCCGCAAGAACACCTCCCCCGGATGCGCAGCAGCCACAGCCAATTGGCTTTGCAAGCCGGACGATTTAGCCCAGAAGTGGCTTTGCAGGCAGGAGAAATTACAGCACTCAAGCAAGAGGCCCAACTGGTCGGGGTTCATGCGAACATTTCATCAAGGGTTGCTTCCACGAGGTGCCTTGGTGCCGCAACAGCCGAAGAGACATGTTTGAGACAGGGTATGCTGTATGAACAGTTAACAGTGTATGCATACAGACGCAAAGCATCGCAAGCGGTGTAGGCGTGGCAACCGGTGCAGGTTTTGCCACCCACACTGCTTGCCCTTCAAAATGGTTGCACTAATCACAAATCAATCGAGTGCATAGAACCCTCTCAATATACACTCGCAATCCGGAATCTAGAGAATGGGGGAGGGGGGAGAGAAAGAGAGAGAGAGAGAGGTAGAGGGACGTCGAAGCTCCCTTTGCAAGACCAATAACAGCTGTGCATGTTTCCTGAACCCAGGCTGTGGCAAGACCGCCAAGCACAAAGCAGAGGCCGTCCTTGGCTCCAGGCTTGCAATCAGCTTGACTGCATTTGCTTTGGTGCTGGAGTTCTGTTTGCACCGTTGTTTTATCACGATGATATGCGTGCTGCTGGAGGGTCTGCTTCAGTGGCCAATTTCGCGATGGAAGCTGCTGCAAGAGCTAAGCGCCAACGAAAGTAGCAGAGTCAGGTTGATGGCGAAGGCCTGGGACACCCAAACTCCAAAACTTGTTCAATGTCATTCAATTTTGAAGATTCCGTTCACATCATATCACAAAGGGATCCTGTGTGCAGAGGCAAACCACAAAGGCGGATCAGATTTGCCGTGACAGCCAAAAAGAGTGCGATTTGCTGACCTGCTCATTATGGCAAAGCAAAACAAGCCATTTGCACACCCAGTTGCATAGCTTTCTTTCTGGCGTACCCATAAGTACCAGTGTAGCGGCCGACGTCAGTAAGACTGATATTCAACAGAATCTTGGTCCGAAATTCACCAAATCCATCAAAATCCCCTCGATTCGGATGCAGTGTTCTGGTGCTGAGGCCTGGGAAACTCTGCATCGTGGGGCGTTTCGAGTCCTGGAAGATGGATGGGAAGTGGCTGCGTTGCTCAGAACTTTGAAGCATTCTCCTTGCAGCAAAAGGGGTCGAAGAGGAATATAAATACGAAAAGCCTTTACAAGCGCAATGGCTCGATGTCGGACAAGGAAATTGAAAAACAACATGTTGTCAATTCTTAAGAGAAAAAGAACACCACACGAAGCTCAGTTGCTTCCTATGCGAGCACGTCGTGGAGGCAGTGAGTCTGCATGTGCCTCACCTGCGTCCCAAATCACTCTTGTTCAGTAAGTTGTTCATGTCTAGATTAGGGATGTAGATGGTAGGCACTCCTGAGAAGCCGACGTTCAAGCTGTATTTGGACAAGGCTGTAGAAGACGCCTAGTGGAGGGCGGCAGAGGTTGGTTTTCCAAGTTCAAGTCTGCCAGGTGTTTGCCGGAGAGGAGGAGGAATTGGACGGGGAAGAATGGAAACCCTTTGAGGCGAAACTTTGTTTCAGTATTCTTTGCAAAACTGGTATGCTTTCCACGCCTCCACATTGATCTCGCTGTCCGTCAGTAGGAGAATTCCCATGCGAACAGTTCCCCGAAGCAGCCCGACAAGCAGGCGAGTCTTGATCCATAAGTTTTTTTTTGTTTCTCTATTATCTCTATTAGTGAAGATAATGGATTGAAAGTGATGAACACATGCAAGCCCTTGGTAAACCGGTTATCACGTTGAGTCATCAGTGTACTTGAAGCAATTCGTGTTGGAAAGCTCCTCGCACCAATCTGGATCTAATGGATTTACTCCACCAGGAAGTTCGGCATGAGCGTCCGAAGGAACTACGAGAAAGATCGAGAAAGCATAATCGCTTGCTGTGAGATGCACTGTAAGTCCTGTCTATATATGAGATACAACTGCCTTCTGGGAGGAAGCCAAGCCGCCTGAGCCAAGGCAAGCCCTGGTGAAAGAGCACGTTGCACGAGATGAACATGAGATGAAAGAGAACTTGTGAAGGCGAATCATTTGGTCCATTCCTGGTAGAGGCCTCCGCCACCTCCCGACCTGGACGGTGGAGCCTTTGAGGAGCCCCCACCGCCGCCAGTACCACAGGCAAGCTGGATGAGAATACTACTGCAAGTAGTGCCTTGAATAAACAGAGAGAACCCAACATGCACTGGTAGGGTCGGATTAGTGGCTTTCAGGAAGCTTCAGCAGAACAACATCGAGCCTCAGCGAGCTGGCCTTATCATTGATATCATCAGTTTGTGTTTTGATTGTGGCTTTATGCCATATCATGAGAGGATGAAAGAGCCCTGAGGCCCTTGCCTGGCATTCCTCCAGTCCCCCAGGAACTTATGGCCAGAAACTTACCTCCTTGAAGCAGAGCCTCGTCCGTAGCTTGCATGTGTGTGGGGATGCGTGACACTCGAACAATATGGGCCTCACAGCCTCACCGAGGAAGAACATGTGAAAGCCAGTGGCAGCCCTCAGAAGAATGTGTGGCATTACGCAAGTGCTTTTTGCAGTGCCTTCGGTGACATCCTCAAACTTTGACGGGTTTCCCGCCAGGGATGCAATGGATGGGCATATCCAGAAATGCACCAGCCCCAGACCAGCCGAGATTAGCAGCAGATAAATCCAGCTACATGGTGGCATTCTCACAGGAATTTTTGCAGTATATTGCAGTATATACATCGGAACCTTTGTTGTGCTACAATACCAGGCATGCTTTTCAGGTTCTGCAATTGTTCAATGTCAGGATCAGAATTCATCCTTTCGCTTCCCTTCCCGCTCAATCACTTGCATGCTAGATATAACACAAAAATTGTACACTCACATAGTTGATACTTTGCATCACAAAGCAGCCGTATTCGATCTTGGAACCAATGTAAGACATGCAAGTTCTAAACAAACAATAATAGCCACATCGACAAACAGTTGTTGATGAGCTGGAGGCCGAAACCGCCTTTGGCAACGAAAGGCTGCCGCCTTATGTGCTAATTGTTTTGGCAATCAGTGAGAACAAGCAAAACACTCACCAGACCAATGGACCCATCAGGATTCCACAATAATTGTTTGAGTCCAAGGAACGGGGAAAAACACTTTGCAAGCTGTGCACCTTGGTGAGATTGAATCTGTGACGTGTTTAATGATTGAATCCACTTGATGTTCCTTCGTGTTGATGATATGGCGATATTGGTTATAGTGAGGGGTGACTCCTTTGTTGCCGCATAAGTGAAGCACCAATCCCCTGAAGAGGTTGGGTCGTTTTGCTTCAATGTGTGAGGATCCTGACGCTGAAGCTCAATCCTGTAGCCGAAGCCCAGAGCTGGCTCAGCGCCTGTCACAAAGTCCGAATTTCGAGCAATCAGAGTCTAAATTGCCGAGAAGGTCGCCGGCTTTGCGGTCCACAAGCCCAAAGCTCACACAAGATGACCAAACAAACCCAATCCGACCAGTTCTTGATCCCAAAGTTGCGGCTGCATGGGGATTGCCGACCTTGGGATGCACTGAGATGTTCTTCTACAATGTTCTACTCCTTTTGCATGCGCGTGCTTTGTGTGTGTGCAGTGTGTGCGTGCCAAATCTGGATATGGATGGTTCTTTCAGTACTCTCACCAAGGATCATTACGACCCCATTGTCACCAAGAAGTCCCACAGGACCGGACCTGTGCTCAGCTTGAATTGAAAGAGTACTCCGATGCCTTTTTGAGGCCACAAAGACCATGCAAGGTGCGCAGCTTCGTGCAATCATTGATTCCAAGATATCATCAACCGACTCCGGGATGCAAACCGTAGATCATGGTTTTGTTGGACACTTCGATGATAGGAGTCAGTGGGCGTGCCCCATGTAAGTTATTGTACGCATGTTGTGAGTTAGCTCGGTTTTTGTCAATGTCGCCATGTTACGGAGCTTCTTTGCTTTGCAAAAGGTGCAGCTAGGGACCAGCAGCGCTGCAATTTGCATAATATCATATAATATCATATAATAATTGGAAATCACACGTCAAGGAATCAGCGCTGGCGCCTTTTTCCTAGTACACAAGGAGCCTGTCAGCTGCATGGATTGACATCTTGTTCGGTCACGAACGAGCACAGGTCCAACACTAAAAAAAAGAAACAACAAACAACCCAAACAACAAACAAAACGGAGTTAAGTGGTGTTATGTTGTTGTTGGTTAGGTGCTGCTGTGTTTGTGCTGTCCATCGGTGCAAGGCCCATGCTCTTCCTTCTTTTCGCTGAAATCATGGTTGCATCATAGATAATCCTCCACCTCTGTTTTAGTTGTCGAAACAACTGTATCTGGTGTTTTTCACTGGGTTTGTAGGTCTGTAGGAAGGTCTTTACTGATGTCGTGGTATGTTTTCCTTGCGGGATGAGTGGCCAATGACGTAATAGTCCAGGGTATGTCAGTTGGTCCACGAAGTTCCTCCACAGCCAACTCTCTGTCGGACGCAGCACGGAGCTGCTCGGGCGCTGCTTTCAAGAGTCTTCCAGCATGGTGTAGCCACACCACTGAGCCCGGCCGCAAAGAGCCATCTTCTTCAACTCTGGTCTCCACAGCAAGTACTCTCGCTGGCCCTACAAATTGCCCTGTCCAAGAAAACCCTTTTCCAACACCTCCCGGAACTTGTTTTCTCCAGAAAAATACCAGATCCCCAGGTACAAAAGACTTCATGGGTCGTCTTCCTGCAGCTACTGCTCTAGCAAGTCGCTCTGTGGCTTGAAACTCCGAAAACTTTTGGTCTGCTATAGCCATAGCCCGGATGTTTTCAGAAAAACCACCATCCATGTGTTGAGCTGGATGTATAGGATACCCCTTGATCTTGCTATCAAACAGATGTCCCCATTCATCAGGTGAGCGACCCATGGCATGTTGTAGAGGTGAAAAACCAAGGTAGTTGTCCTTGGAGTTGCTAGCCCATAGAGCTCTACAAAACAGTTCGTGTAGGGACATGTCATGAAACTCTTCTGCTATGCCGTCCATGATGGACTTCACTCCCTTGATGGCACTCTCAACGATGCCTACCTGCCAGTGTGCTTCTGCTGGAATTGTCGCCAACTGGATGCCACGTTCTGCGCACCAGTCAGCTGCCGCACCGTCTCTCCACACGCCCTCGGGATCCACCCTGAGCACTTCAGGTTGTCCAAAATGGGAAAGCCAGTGAGCCTCAAAAACCTCTTTCATCTGAGACCATGTTGCCATGTTACGTGAGTTAGTGAAGAGAATCTGTCCTGCTCTGAACCTGCACCCCTCATCAATGAAAATGACAAATTTGCACTTGTCTCCAGTGTGGGGATGTGTCCAAGAACCCATGTCACTCTGAACCACTTGCCACTTTTTGGGAAGAACCTCGAGAGTCGCCGGTCTTCGTGGTGCGGCACGTTTCCGCTCCTGACAAATTGGGCAAGAGAAGGACTTGGCAATTTCTAGGACATGTGGAGGTACTCCACGTTTCTTCAAAGCTCGAAGCAAAACGTCCAAGGAACCATGGCCTGTCGTGCCATGTATGTGTCGGATCAATTTCAAAATTCGAGCTTTCTCTTCATTGGATGGTGCCTCCCGGTTGACTGCACATGTCTCCACATTAGCTGCTGATGGTTCCGAAGTCTCCTCAATGAACTCGGCATTCAGTTCACTGCACACTAACGACCACATCTCTTGTTGTCTCAAGGCCTCGATGACCTTCTTGGCAAACACTGGTGTGTAAAAGGCTGACTGCAAGGTTCGACCACTTTCACAAACACTTTTCCGGTGATTTCTTTGACAAGGAAGGTGCATATGACGAAGAAGGTTCCTATTGCTTGTGGCAATCTTCCAACCCTTACACATGAGTTCTCCAGTGTCTCTAGCTCTTAGGTTCACGGTGCAGCCATGTGTGGTGACGGTCTGAAGCTTCAAGTCCATGAGGAACTCTTGGAGAAAAGGAAGTTTCCACGCCTCGCACTTTTCTGAAAGTTCCCAGTGAATTTCGGAACCCAAGTTGTATCCCCAATGAGCTACACGGATTGCCCCCAAATACTCTTGCTCTGCATACTCACGCTTCTTCTGCAGTTGAGAGATCTGTTCAGGGTTTCTTTGGTTGAGTCGCTGCATCGGAGAAAAGGGTCCACAATCACAGGAAAACCAAATATGTTTGGGTCGCAACTCAGACACCACTTTGCAAAGGCGAGAAACTCCAAGAGGGAGCACCGCATACCTGCCTGTTGTCCTAGCTGCTGGTGTACTTCTGAGGTCAGCACACTGTTCTCACTGCACGCTACTTCCAAAAGAAAGAGGCGTCCCGACTGTGTGAGTTCCTGCCATGAAGTTCCAAAAGGATTGTTTTCTTGTCTCCAAGCTCTGCCTATCTTCCTATGGACCTCCAAGCACTGCAACGCTGGACATTCGGCGTACATGGACTCAACCTCCTGCTCACTGCCGCTCACGTCTCCTTCCGAGCTTTGGACCTCCCCGAACTCAGTTCCAGTTCGGCCTTCTCGGTCTGCGCTGTCTCGAGTTCCTCTCGAAGAGCATCGATGATGTCCTGTTGGGACAACTCCACTGGAATGAACGAGCCGTCGGAGGAATCGCCTGGAGGATCTTGGGATGGGCTCCCACGAGGCTTGGTCATGTATCCTGCTGTGAACTTCGGCTTGCTCTCTTGGTGCTTCATCTGAGACTCTCCCCAGGTCGCAAGGCGTGCTAGACGCCAATCGGTCGTCTCCTCCTTGTGAATCTGAATGGCCCACTGCATGTAGGAGGAGTGCTCCTGGAGAACTTGGCCGTATGTCAAGTCCCCGTGCTTCCCGAAATTGACACGATCGGCAGCTGTGGCCGGAGTCGTCTTGGTCAGGTGAGCTTCCACCTTGGCATAGATCTTCGGAATGGTGTTGTTGGGTCCCACTTTGATTCCCTTCGATTCGGCAAACTCGACCAGGTTGGCCTTTTTCTTGGCCGCACGGTTCAGTTCGACCATCTTGGAACGAAGGTCTCCTCCTTCTGGGCGATTCAGTTCCTGGAGTTCGCTCAAGCGGGCACGAAGTTGAAGAACTGTGGCACTCTTGGGCATCACCTCCCCCAACTCCTCGATGCGTCGCATCAGGCTCTCCTTGGTCTCGGTAGGCATGGCAAACCGATGGAAGGTCGACGGTGTCTGGTGTGAGGTCACACGTCACTGGTGTTGCTGGAAGCGGGCTTGAGCACGGCAGGGTATGTGAGGTGCTGAAATGCTCAAGCTGAAGGTGTTGTTGGAGTTGTTTGTTGTAGTGGTGTGAGGTAGTGGATTGTTTCCAAGAAGAAGTGCATTCAAACTGGTTCTCATGAACAGCGTTGGACTCATGTTTACAAAACGTGCAAATTCCGAATTCTACTGCTAGTAAATTGCAGTCCTGGCACACCTCAAAAGCACATGACTTACTTGCAAGTTGTCTCCCTTGGGCTGTCCGTCCATTTTCCCCAAGGGAGGGTGGTTCCTATTCGTCGGCCAGTCTGCCAAGGGCACTCTTCCGGACCCTGGCATCCTTCAAAAGATTTCCACCTAATGGCATGAGCAGGTGGCCATTGCGAGCGGCCTCGAGTGGGACTACGCTCTTTGGGCATACCTTTCGGTATATCACTTCATTGTTCTCAAAATCTAAAACAGCTCCTAAGGCTTTCAGGGCCTTCACGGAAATCAGGACAGGCTGGTTGGCAGTGTCGTGAACATGAATCTGAAGACTGCCACTCTTCTCGCCAAGGTCCACACCAAGGGACACCGTGGAAACACATGCTTTAGTGCCATTGTTCCCAAAACGGAAAATGGGACAGTGGTCTGGATCTACCGTGACACGGTCCTTGCCGTGTTTGGCCACATTCATCCGCATCAGTGACTCAAGAGCGGACACCGACCCCAATGTCGCTGTCGCTCCACAGTCGATGACACCCTTGCCGTCCTTGATGGTCTGGGGAATGTCCAAATCTGCAGGTTGGGCCGCATATGAGTGCTCACACTCATTCTCTGAAGGCTTGGTCACTCCCTTGTCCCACGCTGAGAAAGCCACTTCAGCCTGTTCATCTGCCACATGAGCCTGAGGCTTCCGCACTGGGCAATTGTCGGTGTTGTGAGGTCCACCGCACTTCAAGCACTTGCGAGCCGAGGACAAGGATTGGCTTCCCTTGGAAGCTCCTTTGCCACCAGAAGGAGGGAAAAACTTGCGCCCCATGCGGACCTGAGACTGTCGCCACCGGGCTTCCTTCAGTGTTCTCTTTTGCTCCTGGATCGCCGCAAGCGCGGTGTCGATGGCCTGTTGTTCGGCCCAGAAAGCATTCTCAGCCTGCCAGTCATCGCCAAAATCAGGTGGCTGTTCATCAGCTGCGAGGATTTCCTCATCATCAGCATCTTCCACCACCATGGCCTGGAACTTGGTGCGATCACGCCGCTGCAGATCTTCATCATTCCACTGCTCTTTGAGGGCACGTTCCACTGACTTCACAGAGAAAACACCTCTGAGGGCTGCTAAGACATTTGCACGTTCATGTGCATCCAAGCCACTCCTTTGCAGAAGCAAGAAGCCCGCTAGGTAGTCGGGAAGAAAGTCCGGCACATCAATCTCCCAAGACTGAGGTGGTTGGTACTCCGCCGAGCGCCATGACTCCCCCTTCCATGACCACCAGCCATTGGAACTCCAGTCTGCATCAGACCAGTGGTGTTGGCCCCAAGATTCCTCATCATCTTCACGAAGTCGACCACGTTCGTCAAACAAGTCATCT